CAGGAATTAGTGTGAATGGGGGAAGGGAAAAGCTATTTTGGGGGCTGTCTCCTGTTCCCTCTGACTTCAGACTCTGAGCATGGTCATTTCTGGGCAGCAGGTACAAATGCTCCTAGACTCTCCTGTCTGTAATGTGGGATCAGGTTGCCCAGCCTTTTGAACAAACAGGGAGTCAGTCACTTGAGCCTTCATACCAACCTGTTCTGATTGCACTAGCAATCGGTGCCCTATGGGGAGGGCAGAATAAGGTAAAACAGCTTTGTGTGATGGGAGACTGTAAGAACGAAGCCTAATCCACCCATCCACCCTCAAACCACGTTTTTGTTCCATAAAAATACTTCTGTAGAAAAACTGTCATATCTCATATGTGAAAGGATTTTATTTACTCTATTTTGCAGACTTATCTGGCACTTCTGAGATACTGACCTTTCATGTTTGAGATATTTGATGCTTAATATAAGCATCCTCATTCCCCTTGCCCTGCCCCATGTGGACCTCTCCCCAGTGAATTTGCATTCATACACCTATTTTCATCTTACAGATATATTAAGAGGGAGGTTTTGCTGAGGGTTAATGGTAATTTATTTCTCTGGAGATGAGATTTCAAATGTTGCTCAGGTCAGCTGCAGAGAGATTCAGTGATCTTTGTCCTAATTGGCAATTGGTTCTCATCACGTAACTAGTATCACCACAATGACAAATTGATGTGATTCTCTCTCTGCCCAGGAGGTTCAGCACTGGAATAGCAGGGAGTTTTGCAGGTCAGGAGCGAGGTGCATTGCCAAAGCTCTATGGGGGAAGCTTGCACAGTGCATGTCTATACTCTGCTTGACTTAATCAATGCTAAGATTCCCATTTTCAATTAAAACAAAATTTCCCTCCTCCCCCCACACACGTGTGCACACGTGTGCATGCACACAAGAGATTTTGAAGTTTCAGTTCAGCTAAGCAGTTTCGGTTTAGAGTCTATGCCTTTCGCTTGGATTTGAGGTTCACAGTCTTAAGGTGGCCTCTTTGCTTCAACATATATTCCAGGATATGTTCATGTTCAGAGCCCTCTGCAAATTTCCACCCGTGTTGCCCAAGATGCATTCTGAAATTCTTCAGTCTCTGTATTAGCTGGAAACCAGAAAGCGGTTGATCTATATACAGAAGAAATGAGTGTTAGCCCTTTCCCCATCCTTTGTTTGTGCTTAATGCCATGGTATTAGTTTTTTTTTTTTAATAAGACAGTCTGAACAAGTAAATGTCTAGATGGCTTAGTTGGAGAGTTTTACTTCCCTTTGTGGAAAAAAAAATCTATAATCTTTACTAAAAGTCAGCAATGCTGAGTTTGTAAATAGTTATTCTGCTCTCTGCTGTTCTTCTGATGTTTATAGGCCAGAGCTATCTCTGAATTAGTCTTGATTTTAGTCATTTCTGTTTGGCTTTGGGAATAGCCTCTGGCCTCTATCAAATCCCTACTTGTTTGGATGTAATTGCGAAAGAAAGAACAAAAATAACTGGCCTGGCAAAGTGGTGAGCTCCATCCTTCATCCCCCACAGTTTTCCTCTGCACGTGTGAACTCCACTCTCTCACATCCATACAGCCCCATATTAAACGTCCATAATTGTCCTTTCCCTTCTAGGCAACACTAACATTGGAGACTTTCTGTGAAGTCTTGATTTATGGCTATGAAAAGTACTTTCTTGTGAACTCATTAAAGCCCAAGGCTTCTGGTTTTCAGTTAAAACAAAAATTGCTGCTGAAGAGTTCCTTGATGAATTTTATCTTGAACCCTTAATAAATATATTAAAAAAGAAAGCAATCCAAAGAGATGTTCTTCCAGTCCTTGACCATGAAGTTTTCTACTGCTTTTTTGTCATCTTACAACAAAAAGCAGTTGCAAAACTGAGAGCCCGTATGAGGGATGGGGCAGAATCTGAACAGAATGAGAAAACACTCAAAGAGTAATTTTGTGGTATCTTTGCGTCCTTCTCTGCCCAAAATAATTCCTGTTTTAAAAAGAATGCAAGATTATTCCTGCTTAGCATGAAAATGGGAGGCCCCAGTGTTTGAGTGGGGTGTAGCTGCACGAAGCACCTGGTATTCACATAATAATGGAAAAACAACAGTTTGGTGATCTGATGGTGAAGCAAAGGAAATGGATCTTTCTGGAGGCCACTCACTCACTCTTGGGTTCTTCCTCCACCTTAGGAAAAAAAAATAAATCTGAATGCATTTTCCTGCCCTGTGGTTTCCATTCTAATCTAATGATATGAAACCTCTCTTTCTTCTTCTCCTCTTCCTCTCTCTTGGGAATCCGAAAGCAGATGCTCCTGCTGCCTGCCTTGTGCTGTGTTCTCAATGCTCCCTTCCCTTCCCTGGGTTCCTAAGGGTTGTAGAGTTTTGTGAATATGCTTTGTAAATATTTAAAAGGTACAGTGGTAAATCCCAAACTGCCCTGGGTTTGCCCCCACCCAGTGTACGATGGGGTTGAGCAGCGCTTTGTCCCTGCGGAGCTGTGGCAGGAGATCTCTGCTGGGATTGCTCTCGTGCTGGTTGGTAGGAGGGACTGGAGGAAGAGTGTAGGTTGCATTCTTCCTTTTGAATCCACCTGAGATGACCAGGCATTTTTCCCCTAGGCTGCTGAAGAACTATATCAAACTGGCTGCATCTTCAGGATCTCTGTGTATTTAGGAAGTTTAGTGACTGAAGAGCAAGCAGCGTGTGTCCCTCACAGCCACCTCGCACCTCGGGTTCTTCTGTTTGGCTTAGGAAATGTTGTTTGTTGACTTTCTGTACCACAGCAGAGTAGGAGGCAGTTAATAATTAGTTTTGCTCATTCTCTTCACAAAGCAATGTGAATTCTTGTTTCCTTACTCGATGCTGCCCAGATTCAATCTGTTTAGTAGGATTATATGGGCCCTAGTAGGCTTCCCACTGATACTGCTTTTCTACAAATGAGAGACAAAATACAAACTTTAAACATCCCTTCAACTTTGTCGTGTTTTATTCTGCTTTAATAGAATGACATCAGTCTTCCCTTGATGTGTTTTATCTTTTGCTTGCTTCCAGGAAACTAGCTGTTTCATTTGTCGTGTTTACCATTACATTTCTAGTTCTGACCTGTATAAGTGCCTTCAAATAGCATTCTACTCATGGTTGCAGTTTACCATGCACTTCAGTGAACCGTGAATAAAACACCTCCAGAGGAAGTTGAGAGAGAATTCCTGCTCCTTTTGTTAGTGGAGGTGCATCCTCTAGATGCGTACTTGGCACTGTTGTGCTGAACTGAACAAGTGGACGTATTTGCAGAATTACTGCAGTCTGCCTGCGTAACAAGTACCCTGTGGCATTCATAAAGCTGCAGGAGAAGGGAATCCAAGCTCTTTGCTCATCAGCTGTGTACTATGTGGCGTTCCAAGATGTGCCCTCGATGACATTCAGAGACCAAGAGTGCGTAAGCACACAGAAAAATTTTGGCTGAAGAGGGAGCATTTTTTTGTTTTAGATTTTTAAATGGTAAGAGTTCATGTTAGTGCAGATTACAAGCTCATGGTTTCAGGATAGTGCCTTCCACTTGAGAAACCCAGATGTCCAAGTTCTTGTATAGAACTGAAGTGTCTAGAAGCCCTTCATTTTTAATTAAAAAATTGGTTGTGTAGTGGCTTACATCTTGTCTTCACAAAGAAATTGCATCTATTGTTGAGTAGAGTTCTGTAAGTAAACCTGTGCTAACTAAAAACTTGTGCAGAAGGCTGTATGGAAACACTTAGGTTTTGTTTGTTTGCGGTTAACTGTAGGTCAAGATAAGAATATGAATTTAGGTTCTGATAACTGTTCCTAAAAGACTGTATGTTTGCACATGCATTTATTTCTTCTTTAAATGGATTAGGTGCTTTGAGTTGAGCTACTCTTGTTATGGACTTAGTTACCACTCAGTGAAATAGACGCAACCCGATCTTGTTTTCGTTTTAATTCTGTTTTTATAATTTTTGTTCATATGCCATCAGTTGAGCCAGAAATACAAATAGTGTTATTAACGCAAAGAGGCTTAATAACAGATTAAGTACCAGTGACCAGTGTCTCTTTCTCAGGTCACCAAATCCCTTTAGTGTCAACGGCATGAAGGAGACGTGACCTGTGTCCCTTTATCCTAGTTCAGTGAAGTGTACAGTTTCATGCCTTCCTTCAACTCTGCGATACTAAACTAATGAGTTAAATTAGTCCATACACTGAACTGGGTTATTTAAGGCTGAAGTTGATGGCTTGATAGCATAAGCTGATTCATGGCTCCTGTGGGAGCACCTTCCCAGTAGTGCTCGTTTCACTGTGTAGGGAGTTGAATCCAGGATGCTAAATTAGCAAAAAAAATGATGCAGCAGGGAGAAAGAGAAAGAGAGAGAAATGGGCTTGTCCTCTGCCAGTTTAGCTAGTTGAACTCACAGACCCCACAATAAGATCCACGGTGGATCAAGGGGAGGAGAAGGAGCACGCAGCCAGGGACAATGTGAGACTGTGAAGCCCCTGACTTGTGTTGGCTGGAACTACTCTGAAGCCCCAAGCTCTCGCTGAGCAGCAGTGCTGGCCGGGCTCCCGCCATTCCCTCCCAGCCTCTGCTCCCTCCTGATCTAGCTTAAAAATAGTCCTGCAAGTGTTTTTTGAATATACATTTATGGTTTTTTTAGCCAAATTAATTCCTGCATCTGGTTCACCAGATTGCACAGGTACACGGACAGGTGTTTTATGCGCATGTGCTTTAATGCACGGGGCAGAGGGGAGCTGAAAGAGCTGCTGAAATGGTGGCAGCTTGGTTTACGCCAGTTCCCTCACCAATTTAAAGTGTGCATTTCTGTGTGTAACTTCAATAATGCGTTTCTGAATTTTGTGCTGTTCATTCAGTCCTGCTCATCTCAGGTGGATTATAGCTGAAGCCCTCCTACTCCTTCCAAATGCCTTGGAAACAGGTAGCTTAAACTGCCGTTTCCTTGGCCATTTTTTCAGGCTCCTAAAAATTTGTTTATTATGGAAATAAGGGGAAAAAAAACCCCAAACCAACCAAACAAAAAACCACCCTCGGTTAAAACTGAGCACAGCAGCAGATGATGGCAAGGCCAGTTGCTGGCTGCATGCTCCAGTGGTACAAGGCAAAGATGCTGCTGCTGAGGTGACTGGTCTAAACTCTGTGACAAACAAAGGGTTAACAATGCATGGATTTCAAGGGGCTCTGTTTAGTTTTCTTTGGTTTATTTTATTTTTTTTTATTTTATTTTACTTTATTTTTTTGTCGTTGTTTTTTGTTTAATTTCTGTGTTCTGGCCACACCCAGGAGAACCGTCTGCTTTTGATTTCTCCCTTTACGGTTACATGGTAAATTTTCTTTCTCATTCTTCAGAGATGGAAACGTTCAAATACTATATATATACATTTTTTTTTTTCTCACTGCTCATCATGTTGCTTGTTATTTATTGCAGAGTCTGAGGCCAGACTAAAAGGGTGGCAGTTACTCGGTCTCTTCAGGCCCTTTGAATATACCTTTGGGTAAAAAGGGGTTAGTCTGGCACTGTAAAATTACTCACCAGTCCTAAAAATGTTTACAGGGGTTATTTGATGTTTGCTGATTACATTGAGGCTTAAACTTACTTTCTGCTTGGGAGGATTTCCTGGCAGTTGCTGGTGGAGAGGAATTGTTGAAGATTTCAGCCTTATTATCATAACAGCCTAATTAAACCCAAGCTATTTGTGTAATCCAAATTTTAGAAACCTTAAGTCTCTTTTTTACCCAGGATTGTATCTTCCCTTCCTCTGACTCCATACCTGCTTCTATGGAGCAAACCAGTACCTGCTGTAAAGCTAAGCTAGTAAATATTGGATATCTGCCTTTTTTTTTTTTTCTTTTTTTTTCTCCCAAGGGCAAGACAACCTTGGGAGGGAAAACTGAGAATTGTTTGTTGTATATGTATTTAGGTATAAATTAATCCCTATTCTTTACAGGTCATCTGTGAGCAGGATTTAAAATTATATGTATGTGCTTTTTTTTCTCTCCCACATCAAAAATATGTATATATAATTGCTAGTTTTTAAACTTAGAAATAACAAAAATGTCAAGCATGGCTCACCTATTTTTCATGATGAAAATTTGAATATCTAAGAGATGCATTAAGAAGACAAACTAAGGGGCACAAATACTGACTGCTATAGTCAACTGTGTAAAGTGTTAAATCAGCATTGACATTAAATGGCTCTCAACAAAGAGAGTTGCACAAGCTAAGGATGGATCTGTCAATAAAAAAAAATGTGGTTAATTAGTTATGTTGTTCAGAATCAGATTAATTCTGTTTTAATTCACATTGTTAATTATTTTCAAATAGTCTGCATGTGGATTGTACTGTACCTTGAGTTAACTCATTAAAAATAGTGAAAATTCCTAATCAACTTAAAGATACTTAATGATAATGTGGTTTTAAAAATCCTGTACAGACTTCATTAATTGCAAACAAATGTGAATTTAAAATAGTCTTAATTTGGTTCTAGTCTGCACAGATTAATGTCTAAAAAATTACCTTCCCTCTGCTCTCCAGCTTTCAGTTCACATCATCACCGAAGACATAAATTTCATTCAGTCTCTACAGACTTGTCTAGAACAAACAGAAATTTTAATGTAAAAAGAGAAGAGGGAAATAGAGATTCTTGTTGCAATCTTTACCTCTGCTCCTCCCCCACCCTTTTAAAGACGCTTTTTTCTCCATTATATAGAACCAGAGGGAAAGGTGTTGCTCTATTTCTCAGTCTTGCCTTTCTCTGTAGGGGTTCTTTGAAGCAGACAGGATACTCTGTCCCTTCATTATCAGCTTTGCTATTACACCCCCCCACACCCCCCCTGGTTCCCTGCAACATATTTGAGAGTTATATGCGGTTGGGCTGTTTTATTAGCCCGGATCTCTTGTAGCTCCAATTTTAATTCATTTAAACAGAAATTTTTTATGCTGTTCTGAAAAAGGCATCAGTTTTGTTATTTATATAGCTTTTTATTTGTAGCTGGAGAAATGAACTTATCTGAAGCTTTACATTATTGGGTTGGAGCCCAAAGGAGTGCTCTTGTTGATCTCTATGTTGCAGTGCTTGGCTAAGTTCTTTTATGATTGCTATTCGGGGGCGGGGGGAAGGTAGAAGAGAAAAAGCCAACCTGCATCTTACAAATGCGTAGCCGTTTTGTGCTGGAAACTGAGCTGTGGATGATAAAGGCCAGCATGTGCAAACGACTTGGGCTTTTTAAGATTAGTATTGTAAAGACCTTTTAAAAGCACTCGAAGAATGATGGCTTGCTTCTGTCTTGTTGCTAACAGTGCATAGAAATCAAGATGGGATTTTTTGGGGGGGGTCCAGTCAGTATGTATTGACCTCGAGCTGCATGGAGAGGGCCGTGAGGCCAGCATGCCATTTCCCTGACATTGCATGCTGTATATCACTCACATCACCTTCCCCTGCAGTTAACATCAGGATTTTCCATTGCATCAAATGAAAGCTTTGTTCTTCTTGCTCCTGAGGGTATCAGAGCCAGCAGAGACTACTCTCTGTACGTTAAACTGATATTTGTTTTATAACAAGCCACAGGAGCCAGTCACCCTTCTGTTCTTAAGATACCTTAAAAGCGGAGTGCAACAAAGTTGGGGTTTTGGGGGGGTTGGGTGGTTTTTTTTTTTTTTGGCCCTGATCTCTGTCATGGCATGAAGAATATCTCATCACAGCTGTCTGTAGTAACGTACCAGTTGTTACTGGTTAAAATCCTAATTCGCTTAGTCACGTTGGCTCTGTTTTAATGTCAGTGCACACATCTCCATGGAAGGAAGCATGATCTCTTACCCTGCCCCATTACGTGACTGCATGAGTTGGCCGCAGCGTGAGCATGTAGGACAGGCACGTTGCACGTGCCTTCGTGGAAGCGGTAAACCTAAATGCGTCTAAATAAAGGGACGTTTCAGTAGTCCTCAAGCCTTTGTGGTTGCTCCAAGCAGGGCACGTCAATTTTTCTCAAACTTCACGGTCTAACCAGGCAGAGGTTTGTTACTGTCTGTGGCACAGAGGCTGCCATCTCAGAACAAAGCCAAGTAAGATGGGTGGCAGGGTGGGAGGGAGGTAGCAGTAGGTCAGGAGTATCAGACAAAACCTACCTTTACCGATGAATCAGTATTTAGGCGTTTAGATTTACACCAAGTCCAACACAGTACTCATAGATAGGAAAATTTTGAAACTAGAATATGTGATACTATAAATATTCATGTTAAGTGATGTTTATTTGATGGTGCCATCTAGAAGCCCTGCTTACTTTCAGGGCCTCATGCGTTATTAGGGAAGTTACAGGCATAGGAGTAGACATCAGCTGTGCCCCGAAGAGCATACAAGGGATGCTTTACAAACAGCCCTTCTTCTCAACAGTTTTCTAAGGTAGGTAATTATTATTGTCTCCATTTTACAGGTGGGAAAAACAAAGTTCAGTGTTTGATTTGCCCAAAGCTTCGCAGAATTCCTGGTGCCAGGCGTGAACTCAGATCGCCGCTAGCTTCTCGTAGCAGTTTCTCAAGGGAACGAAGTGCTGCTCAGTGTTGATGCCCTGTACTGTGTCTGGGGCGGGCGGGGGGTCCTGTGAAGCATGCGTGTTAATTAGGAGAGGGGAGAGAAGCCCTGCTTGGGCTTGACAAGCTTGCCTATGTCGGAGCAGGATTTAATGTTTTTAGACAAACAAACAAAACAAAACAAAAACTGTCTCGAGTAACTTTGTACTTCTTTTTTGGTCTGGCCTCAATTGCTTTTATGTTTTCTTTTTTTTTTAATTACTCTTATTATTCTTATTATGATTACAGTTCCTTTATTTTATCAAATTTAATTTCTTTCATTTATGAAACATGCATGAACCAACAATGTGACTCTAGGAGGTTATTGCTGAGTTGTGCTGATGTTGATTTCATACTGTGATATTTTTTCTCTATTTACCTAGAGATCAGTATTTCAATATATAACGATGTGCATGTTTTCCCCCCTTCTCCCGCTGCATGCAGGGATTCGGGTTCGTAACTTTCGAGAATAGTGCTGATGCAGACAGGGCCAGGGAGAAATTACACGGCACCGTGGTAGAGGGCCGTAAAATCGAGGTGCATGTCTTCAGTAATTCAATTTCTTCTTTATATTTATTCTTTTGATTTCTTTTTGTGTCTTGCCTCACTTATTTCACATTTGAATCCTAGTCTCGTGTGTGCGTGTGTGTTTGTGTCTGTGTCCTTCACCTCCCTGCACTGAAATGTATAAAAGTTTACACCCCTTATGGAATATTTTTATTGTTGTTTTGGGTATTTTTTCTTTTCTTTCTTCTTTTATTAAGTTATTTTCCCCCTCCACTCCAAATTTTTGCCCTTCTGCTGTCTTGATTTTTCCTTTGCTTCAGTTTGCGAGGCTCCGATTTCCTGTTACCAGGCCTGAACAAAACTAACTGAAAGAGTACTGTCCAACTTCTAACTCTGTGTCCAAAAAAGAAAGCAGGGGGCCAGCCAGTATCCTCTCTTTCCTCCGAGGCCAGTTCTCCTCCACGCAGGTGTGAGATGATGCCCATGGTGGGAGGGGAGGGGAGACCCAGGGCAGAAGCCTGGAGTGGGCTGAGCTATACACACCACTGGTTTCTTGACCTGCCTATGGTCAAGAGTCAGCTCGGTGAAGGCTAATCCTTAACGTTTCTCGCTTTCACCACAGGGGAGTTGGCTGGCCAATGTGGCCATGTATTGGGCATGTCTGGTGTTGACCAGTTTGGTATTCCACTGTGTTGAAGGCTAACTTCCTCCCTCCCTCTTTTTTAAAAAAAAAAAAAAAAAAGTACAAATATGAAAACAAAAAAGCCACCGTTTTTGAGTAAGATGTCTGCATATTTTGCTTTTTTTTGTTTTGTTTTTTTATTTCCCTTTTCAATGGTTTAGCGT